GGAAGAGAATGTGATGGGTTTGTTGGTTGGAGAACAGCATGAGCAGAGTTCTAGAGGCAAGAGTGAGAATAGCTCAGGAAAAGCTGATGATTATGGGTAGTTACTCTGTGCCAAGCCTTGGACTGTGGGTAGAAATGCAGAATTATAGGTGACACCACATCTGTCCTCTTAGAACGTGATGAAGACCATATTTTCTGACACCAAAGAAAGGAAGACAGGGCCCAAGAAGGTAGCTTGCCATGTGACAGATTGTGGTGAAACCCCACCAGAACAGTGTGGCACCTGCTGTCAGGGCCCAGTGGACCACTGCATGGAATTGATTGCATTGGGAAGCCAAGTTCCTCTACGGTACCAAAGAACAGCTGGTCTGCTCACAGGAATCCTGAATCCCTATCCAGGAACCCAGAGGGCTCTTGGCTATAATGTTCCCTAATTTAAAGATGTACCATTGTCCTGGTATTGAGATATTTTCCCAGAGTTCTCACAGAATGGACAGTGATGAAAATCTGTTAGCCAACTTAAAAGCAAGACCAAGTATAGAGGATACCCAAACCAGTCTCCAATCCCAAATCATATCTGTACCATGATTTATTCTTGATAAAGCAGTTCATCCTTTTGGTTATTCCCCAAACATGGACAGAATATCAGCTAAGTGAAAGGCCCTATGGGGAGGCTACAGGAAGCAAAAAAGCACATCAGGCATAGTGGCCACAGATGTAGAGCTCCAGGCTGCTAGGGATAGGCCTTAGGAACATATACGGTTGTTCCCAGAAGTGCTTTTCTACTGGCTGGTGAAAGAGGAGTAATCCCAGGAGAGTGAGGGGGTATGCTATACAAATGGTTAATGAGCATGGGAGGAAAAGCCAACCTTCAGGAAGCATTTTACTCTTACAAATTGGCAAGGTTTTTTCTTTAATGAGAATATCCAATGCTGGGAGGATATGGTGAGTCAGAAACACGTTAAGTTCTGCCAGTGGAGGTATTAATTGTTACTGCATTTCTGGAAAGGAATTTGACATCAAGAACCTTGGTCTGTAGTTTTCTTTTTTTGTTGTGTCCTTTCCTGGTTTTGGTATTAAGGTACTATTGGCTTTGTAGAATGAGTTGGGGAGGATTCCTTCCTTCTCAATGTTATAAAATAGTTTTTCTGTAGTATAGGTACCAGTTCTTTGTAGGTTTGGTAAAATTCAGCTGTGAAACTCTCTGGTCTGGACTTTTTTTTGTTGGAAGATTTTTATTGCTGGTTCAATTTCATTACCTGATGTTGGTCTGTTCAGGAGTTCTATTTCTTCCTGATTGAGCCTAGGGAGGTTGTATGTTTCCAGGAATTTGTCCATTTCCTTAACTTTTTCAAGTTTTATGCGCATAGAGATCTTTATAATATTCAGAGATGATATTTTGTATTTCCATGGTATCAATTGTAATATCTCCTTTTTCATTTCTGATTGACCTTATTAGGGTCCTTTCTTTTCTGTCGCTGGTTAATCTAGCGAGAAGCCTGTCAATTTTATCTTTTCAAAGAACTAACTTTTTGTTTCATTAATCTTCTGTATAATTCTTTCATTATCAATTTCATTTAGTTCTACTCTGACCTTAGTTATTTCTTTTCTTCTGGATTTGGAATTGGTTTGCTCTTCCTTTTCCAATTCCTTGAGACGACTCATTAGATTGTTGGTTGATTTGTGATCTCTCTGTCTTTTGGACATCGGCATTTAAGGCTATGAATTTTCCTCTTAGGACTGCTTTTGCAGAATCCCAGAGATTTTGGTGACCTGTGTCCGCTTTGTCATTTAGTTCGAAGAATCTTTTGATTTCTATATTAATTTCCTCCTTGACCCAATAATTGTTCAGCAGTAGGTTGTTTAATTTACATGACTTTGTGTAGAGTTGAGTGTTTCTGTTGGAATTGATTTCTAATTTTATTCCACTGTGGTCTGAGAAGAGACATGGTATAATTTCTATTATTTTTTAATTTGTTGAGACATGTTTTGTGGCCTAGGATGTGATCAATCTTAGAGAATGTTCTGTGAACTGATGAGAAGAATGTATTAATATATTCAGTAATTTGGGGGTAGAATGTTCTATAAATGTCTGTAGGCCCATTTGTTCTAAAGTCCTGTTTAAGTCCATTGTTTCTTGTTTATTTTCTGTTTGGAGGATCTGTCCCATTGTCAGTGGGGTGTTGAAGTCCTCAGCTATTATAATGCTGCTGTTTATCCTTTTGTTTAGATCTAGTAGGGTTTGCTTTGTGAATCTGGACATACGTGTTAGGTACATAGATATTTAGGATTGTTATGTCTTCTTGTTGAATTGTTCCCTTCGCCATTATATAATAACCATCTTTGTCTTTCTTTTGTTGATTTGAAGTCTATGTTATCTAATAAGAGAACTGCTACACCAGCTTTCTTTTGGTTTCCATTTGCATGGAATGTTGTTTTCTATCCCTTCGCCTTGAGTCTGAATGAATCTTCGTGGGTTAGATACATTTTCTGGAGACAGTAGATACTTGGTTTATATTTTTTTATCCATTCAGCCATTCTGTGTCTCCCTAGTGGGGAATTCAAGCCATTCACATTTATTGAAAAAAACTGATAAATGTAGTGGATTTCTGTTCATCCTGTTGGGTAGAACTTTATTGCTTTGTTTTACCTCTTGAGCCATTGTAGTATCTGGGCTCTGAACTTTAGCTTTTGGATGGTTTTACACTGGTGGGTGTCTATTGTGATGATCAGTGTATAATGCAGATCTGAGTACTTCTGCAGGGCAGGTCTGGTCTTGACAAATTCCCTCAGCTTTTGCTTGTCTGAGAAAGTCTTTATTTATCTCTCCTGTAAGAAACCCAGTTTTGCAGGATACACAATTTTAGGCCAGCCATTATTCTGTTTGAGAAGATTGAGAATGGGACCTCAATCCCTTCTGACTTGTAAGGTCTCAGTTGAGAAGTCTGCAGTTAGTCTGATGGGTTTTCCTTTGTAAGTTACCTGATGCCTTCACCTTACAGTTCATGGAAGAAAGCTAGCACTCTGGTCATCTCCGTCCCCCTCTCCAGAAGGCAGCCCACCCAGAATGTCCAGACTCTGGGGTCCCACAGGTCCTCCGGGACCCACCAGCCTCTTGTGGCTCCTGCATTCTGGGCCAGAGTTGGGAAATGTTTGTGTGGGAACGAGTGACATGAAATCTGAGGGGCTGAGGCCTCCTGGGGAGGACAAAGGTGCACGGTGGGTAGAGAAGCAATACAGCGCCTGCCGTCTGAGCTTGGGTCTACGGTGATAGGAAATGATCCCAAGGGCACTGGCCGCCTGGTGCTTCGTCCTCACCAAGCTCCCAGTTCACTGGTGGCAGCAGCTTCTGTTCTTGTGAGGGTAGAAGAGCTCTCCAGCAGCTCGGGAGCCCACTAACTGCCAGAGATGTCAGGGAGGGAGAAATAAGCTGCTCTACCGACCCTTCTCACTGGACTCCAAGCCTTTTGGGGGTTGATCTTGGCCAATATCCTGCTCCTTCGTGTTCTGCTCCTAATTTTGGAGGCTTTCTTCCCATGCTCAAGGACTCAGGAGCCTGCTTAAATCGTCATCGTGGCTGCTCTGCTGGCTGCTCTCTCTGCGGGTCATCAATTTACTTCACAGATCACTTGAGTCTTGATAGATGTCTGGTATATGTCCAGTGGCTTGTCTCTCCTGGGTGCCTTATTAACAACAGAAGTTTATTTCTCGTGGTTCTGGAGGCTAAGAAGTCCAGGATTAAGGCACTGGCAGATTCAGTGTCTGGTGAGGCCCTACTTCCTGGCTCATAGGTGTCTGTCTTTTCGCCGTGTTCTCACATGGCAGAAGGGCAAGTTTTGCTTTATTGGCATCACAAACCCTAAAACTGTCTAGTCTGAATCTTTGGGTAACTAAACTTCTGGAGATCTTGCCTGAAGGAGTCATCAGAGTTGCAAAGACCTATATAGTCACCTGCCACATAATGAAGTTTCCGTCAATGACAGAGCACATATACAACAGTGGTCCCCTGAGATTATAATACCGTATTTTTACTGTGCCTTTTCTGTGTTTGGATATATTCAGACACAAAAATATTAATACTTCCCATTGTGTTACAGTTGCCTACAATATTCAGTATGTAGGCATGCTATACGGGTTTGTAGCCTGGGAGCAGTAGGCTATACCATATGGCCTAGGTGTGCCGCCTATACCATCTAGGTTTGTATAAGGACACTATTGACGTTCCCACAATGATGGAATTACCTGATGACATACTTCTCAGAATATATCCCCATCCTTAAGCAACACATGACAATATTCACAAGGATATTCATTGCTGCCGTGTTTATATTTAATAGTAGTGAAAAACTGAAAGTAATCTGAATGCTCAATATTAGGAATATGGTTAGGTTTATGTGGGATATTATAGAATAGATTATCATGTGATCTTTTTTTGCATTTCCCATCTTTTTTGGGAATATTATTATAACATGGATTAAGCAGGAATAAAAATCATGTATGTGTGTGTATATATGGCTGAGGGGAAAATGCATTGATAAGAACTGGAAGTAAGTATGTTATTCCAGGTTTCTCTGGGCAAGGAGTTGACAGGTAAGATTTTAATGTGGAACAGAAGGGACATTTCAGGGGAGCCTTGATGTTGGTTTTGGACCTGGAAAGATGGGAGAAGAACTCTATGGGCCATGCATAGACAGGGTCTTCATGAGAAGGCCTGTGTATGTGGGAAACAGTGGTCTGGTCTGGCTGGAGGCAGGGTCAGAAGTGAAGAGCAGAGTCAGGTGCAGTGGCTAAAGCCTGTAATTCTAGAAAAGCAGGGCCAGGTTAGATCAAGGCCTCTTTTAAGCACTTTGGGAGGTGATTCTGACCTTGAACTGACTAAGATAGGGGCTTACAGAGAGAGAGCAAAACCTCAAACACAGAGAAGATTATAAAGGTAGCATGGGTTTGGCCCTGACAACACCCCCTCTTTCTGAGGCAGTGATTCCTTCATGTCCTTCTCAGGTTCAGATTCAGAACAAGAAAGTGGACATCTCTAAAGTCTCCTCCAAATGTGGGTCCAAGGCTAACATCAAGCACAAGCCTGGTAAGTGGTGCCTCTCTTGCCCAACCGGGACTCCCAGGGTGGGTAGTCCTGCTGTGGGCCAGCTACACAGCCCTCTGGCTAGGGACGGTTTCATCCATGTACCTTTATCATTCCCACCCGAGATACTGCAGTGGAAAGCAGTGGAAACAGCACAGTCCTCAGTCCTTGTCAGAGAGAGGACGTTAACTTCTCAGTGGAGGAGGAACAGTTTGTAAAGGCTGCCATATGCACAGGTACTCTTGAGCACCTGGCATGGGCATGGCACTGTTGGCCTAGACCTGAGGGAAATGTATGCTCTAGGCTGAGGACCTGGGTCAGCCTCCCAGACTGAGTATTCCAGGAGCTAATACTGAAGGAGCTCTGTAGAGAGCAGTGGTGGAGACTCGCCTGTCAGACAGATTAAGGAGCAAAGAGTGTTCCCAGCAGTGAAGTATGAGCCACTAGCCCTGGCAAGAGAGTGGGAGGCATTCAGTACTGCTGCTTAGGCCCACGGACACAGAGCTTGCAACTGCAGCAATGCAGTTTCCTTCAAGCAACACAGTTGACCCAGTGTCCCCGTAAAGGCCTCTGAACAGAGCGTGGGCTCTTGCCTTGGCCAGCACCCTCGCAGCCTCGTGTGTCTTGGTCCCTGGGTCTACAGCAGTTTGGAGGTGGGCAGTATTGCTGCAGCAGCAGGCACACTGGCTGGCAGATAAGGCATCTTGGTAGGGCAGCCACCATGGGCGAGTTAAGGTGAAGGCAAAGAAAACTCCCTTCTCAACAACTGATCCAGTTTAGAATGTGCTCTATTTAAAAAGATGGAAACAGTTTGATCCTTAACTAACCATCACTTTTTTCTTTTATCTGGAAAATCTACTCTTGTGAGATACCTCCTTTCCTACTGACAATGAGTCAGTTAGGGTCTAGTTTTGCCAGGGCTAGAACTCTGGTGCGTAGGAAACCTGAAGACTTCAGCCAGAAGCTGGGCGCTGAGCTCTGCAATATGAGCTGAGAGGAAGGTGGAAGAACAAGAGAAGGACTCAAAGGAAGCCACACTGCTGGGCCTTGAGCGGGGCTGGTGCCCAGTGAGCTCTGAACCCCACCCTTGTGTACAGGTCACCTTCTGTCCCTCCCCCAGCCGAGGCTGCTAGACTGGGCCTGACCTGGTCTGTGACTGCCCTTTCTCAGCTCACAGTCCTGGGGCCATCCTCTCCCTTCTACCTGTCCTTCTTTCCACTACAGCATGGTTCTGCTAAGGGGCTCAATTTTTACAACCTGTCCCTGTCAGTCACTTTTTGGTGGTGCCTTTCGGCAAGTCACTTCTCTTTTCCAGCATCAGTTTTAGCAGCTGTGAAACAAGGGTCAGGACCCTGATAGGACGTTCCTGAGACTTCACTTCAGTAAGGCTGTGCCTCAGAAACACTAGGAACATGACCTGGGTAGCTGGAGGGGTCGTCACACTACCGAGAGAATCAAAGGCAGCTGCTCATCTTGGCACCTTTGGAGGGTTCTCCCTAGAAGCTGTGCTCTGCGCCCCGGTCCCACCCAAGCCTGGTGTGCAGCTGCTTGCCGCCAGCTGGGGTGATGGCGAGAATGGCTGTCCTTCTCTATAGAGGTATTCCCACTGACTAGATGGAGAGGTTGTCTCAGCCTCACTTTAGTAAGAGAAGCCCCGTTTGGACAAGCTTATTCACGGTTCCTCATTTGCCCTCACAGCCACCAGGAGCAGATCACATTTTGCACACGTCACCAGTCCTTGGCCAAGCTCAAGTTTCTATTCCAGACTCCTGGCTTTGCCTGCTGGGATATTTCTCTGCCACGCTTAAGTGACCAGTTCCTTTTTGGTTCCAGGTGGAGGAGATGTCAAGATTGAAAGTCAGAAATTGAACTTCAAGGAAAAGGCCCAGGCGAAGGTGGGATCCCTCGATAATGTGGGCCACCTACCTGCAGGAGGTGCCGTGAAGGTAGCAAGTGGGTCACCAGGGAGACACAGCTGGGAAGGGTGGGGACTATGCAGCTAGGGTCAATGTCCTGGCAGGTAGGCGCCTGTCACCGCCCCTCAGTCTCTTCAGGAGTCATGTATTCACCCACACCATTGCTGTTTTCCCATCGTCCATCATCAGACCTGAGTGAGACAGGAGAGGTGTAGAGGCCCCAGCCCAGCCACCTCTCACCTGTCAGCTGGAGGTGGTGGCCTGCCTTTCTTACTGAGCCCATCTCAGCCATTTTTAGAGGGACTGTGGGCTGGGGCACAGGTCATCACAGGCAAGCTCTCCCCAGCTGTCTCATGGAGGAGGGGAATGTGGGTTCCTGTGCCTTGTCAGGCTCCATTCCTGGCCTGGGCACAGGATAGCACATTTTCAACTGCCAGTGACAGCAGGCTGCCTCTGCAGGGCCTGCACATGGCCTGCCCCATCCGGGGCTCCAGGAGAGAGTTCAAGAGGCAGAGCTTCCCATCCTCCAACCGGCTGGGCCTCTCCTCCCTTCCCTCTCTCCCCTTTCCTCCCTTCCTCCTTCACAGTACTGTGGATCCCTCTGTGTGCCAAGATGCTGTCTGTCCTCTGTTCATGTCATCGGTGGGTGGGGGGGACCCACGGGAGCAGCATCTTGCAGGCTTCCAAGCATAAGGGTAGCTACAGCTGCTCAGGGCCTCTGCTCCTGCCTCTGCTTGCCCAGTGCTGGTCACTCCCCGTCCCTTTGTCCCACCCTCTCTCGGTGCTTTGATTCAAGCCCCAGTTAGTTTCTGTGACCATTTGGGGGGTCCTAGCTGTCACAGGCTCTCGGTTTGTGTCCCCCACAACTTGTGAGGATGCCGTTCTTCATTCTGTTCTGAATCATGTCTATTTCAGTGGGGCATTAACTCAGCTTTAGTCTCTTGTCCAAGGCCACACAGCAAACGAGTGCGAACCAGTATTCTCACCTGGGCTCTTCTTTTTTCTTTTTTTTTTTTTTTAACATTTTTTTTTATTGCTCGTTGCATATAGCTGCACTCTCAGGCCCCCACTGCTCAACACCTGGGCCTTTCTGTATTCTTGCCTTTATTCACATTATCTCCCTTTATTATTTCTAGAATTATATTTCTAATACAGAGGCTTGTTTCTTTCACTGCTCTGCTTAAAAACCACTGTGGAGTCTCCCTTATCACTTTTTGGGCATTCAGGGACACAGGCTTTCCAGCTCACGTGTGGCCTCCCGCTGTCACTCTCTCTTTACTACTTTACTCACACTGAGTGTTCAGTGTCCCCAAATTGTCCTCCTCCTGTGAAGCCCTCCAGGCCCTCAAAGTCTCCCTGGGTCATACCTCCTAGACACCTCCTTCCTGCCTCCCCTGGGCCCCAGAACAGTGCCCAGCACAGAAGAGGCCTCAGTATCTGTGGTATGTGACCAGACAGAGGAATGGGCAGGGACACCGCGTGAGTTACTGACCCTTGTCTGAGCACATGCTGTGCCGGGACTGAGAAGTGGCAGGCTATACCCCTCGGGGACCCTCCTAACTAGCCTGTGGCCCTGCTGCTTCCTGAGCGGGTCTGGGCCCACCACCTGAAGGTTGCTCTTCAGGCTCGTTGCTGACTCTTTTTTCTCACAGCTACTTTTTATTTGGTACCAGCCTTGTTGAGAGGCCTGGTACCTCTCCCCTCAGAGATGCTTCACAAAGCCTTGCGTGTCACAGTGGGGCTCTAAGAGTGTCACTAGCCCATCGCTCCCGATCCTCAGAAGTTGGTCTCACAGGTGGGGTGGGAGCAGGGGCTGGGGGCCGTGTGGTCCAGATTCTCCAAGCGACTGCACATTGAGCCAATGGGTGCTGGGACAGCAAGGGTGGGGGCTGCGTGTGAAACCCACCACCATCACCCCATTCCACTCCCTCCCCGACTGACCCTGCACTGTCTCCCCCGCTGTTTCATTGTAGACTGAGGGCGGTGGCAGCGAGGCCCCTCCGTGTCCGGGCCCCCCCGCTGGGGAGGAGCTGGCCATCTCTGAGGCAGCGCCTGAAGCTGGCGCCCCTACTTCAGCCAGTGGCCTCAGTGGCCACACCACCCTGTCAGGGGGTGGTGACCAAAGGGAGGCCCAGACCTTGGACAGCCAGATCCAGGAGACAAGTAAGTGGCTGGGCTCCGCCTAAGGGCCAGCCAGGGGCCCTGCCACTGGCTGCAAATTGAAACTCCTTTGTATTTTGCCTAGAGTGTGGCCTAAATTTTAACAAAGTAACCTTTTATTTTCCAGGCATCTAATGATGACATTCTGGTCTCGTCTTCCGTCTCCCCTGTGTTCCCCCTCTTGTCTCTCCTGTTACCCTCTCCCTTCCTTCCTCCCTCCCGTGTCACTGCAGATTGAGACCTACAGGCTGACGTTCCGGGCAAATGCCAGGGCCCGCACCGACCACGGGGCTGACATTGTCTCCCGCCCCCCCCACTTCCCTGGTGGCCCCAGCTCAGGCTCCCGGGCCCTGGGCTCCCTCTCCCGGGCTGTCTACTAGACCTGTGAGCGCTCAGGCTCTGGGCAGCCCGCTGGGCCTCCTTCCCTCCTGCTCGCTTGCCCAGGGCAGTCACAGCCCTGCCCCCACACCACCTTTCAGTCCCTGCCCCAGGCCCAGCTCCCTGCTTGCTCTTGTCCCTTCACTGCACCACTGCTGGAGGAGCTAGGGAGGGAATGGGGTGGGTGGGGCTAAGGTGGGGTCTGGAGGGCAGAATTAGGATTCCAACCTCCTTTGTTTGGTTTTTTTGGACCAAACCCAAAAGAAACCGACATGCCTTCCCTCCTCCCTGGATCTACCTGGAGGGAAGAGTGGAGGTGTATTCCAAGTGATGACTGGATGCTGACCCTGTTCCCTAGAGCCTGCTAAGCCACCTCCTCTCCCTTTGACCCCACAATGGCACCCAGGTGGTTTCGGGCCCCTCTTACTGCCCTGCCCCAAGTTAGTCAGGGGTCGGTTCTGCCTGGCCCCGCTGCTTACCATACCTACCTAGCTGCTGTTATATTTTTCTTTTTCTTATTTTATCCTTTTATTTTCTAATAACCTATAAACTGGTGGAATAGTTTTGCAGGTTGAAGCCATGTCTAAATGAAAGTCCTCAGTAGGTGTTAAGGGAAACAGGGAGGGGAGATCCTTAAGCCTCCACCCAGGAGGACATCAGGCTTTGGGAGCTGCCCTTTGGGCAGCTTGGGGCCCTGGAGATGGTATCGGCAGGGAAGCGAGGTGCGGCGGCTGTGGCTGGTGAGCGGGTCAGGCACACTATGGGCTGGTCAGACTGCGGACTGGTGGTTTTGGCATTTTGTGTGTATGCTGCTTTTCATTTCTAACCAAGAGGCTGGTTTGGGCATCTCTGTTTGTCTCATTCCCTGGGATCTGGTGGTCAGCCCCGGGATACAAGGCCAGGGCCTGAGAAACAGGAAAGGGCCATGGAAGCCCAAAATCCTTCTGGCCTGCACCTGCAGCCTAGGACACTCAAGCCCTTGCTTGTGTCCAGGGGAGCCTGAGATGTCCAGAACTCATGTGGATAGTGGGGAATCAAGTCTGGAAATTTAAAAATAAAAGACATGAGACTGAGGCCACCCCGATTCCCGCATAGCCTGACTAGAGAGGGGAGGGAGGAGAGGTGAGGCCAGCCTGTGGATGGGGTCCCAGCTAGGCCTGGTCTTGGGATGGCTGCAATGATGAGAAATCCTGGGAATTGTATTGACACAAAGATTCTTATTGCACTTGTATTTTTTTGTATTAAAGTTTGCATGGTTTCTAATAAAGGATTAAAACATAAGTTTGTAGTGAAATGGCCTGGGAGTTTCCAAGGACTTCTCCTCTGGAGAGGCATTTGCTGCAGTGCAGATTTGCCTCTGAGGAGGCTGCCTCAGACTTGGCCCCTCAGACCCTCCTCCCAATTTCTGCCCCTCTGTTCCTGGCATGCCTTGGAGCTGAAGGTAAGGGTCTTGCCTTAGGTTCAGATTTGATCCCCATGTACAGGGAGGGCATCCCTGGGCCTGACAGATCCTCCCTTTCTGAGGTAGCAGTTAACCTAGGGACGTTGGATACCGTATTCCCAACTCCCCCAGCACATACCAAGAAACTGAAGAGGCCTCATGGGAAAAGCGCTGCCTGAGCCAGGGGGACCAGCTTTCTTCCTGAGAGCGTCTGCAGCATGCTTCAACTGTGCCAGGGACATTAGGGCACCAGTGTTTTGTCAGCAGGAGGAAGAGGCAAGATGAAACTGGGGAGAAGGAAGCAACAGGGGTTGGGTAGCAAGGAGATACAGCTGGGGTGATGGCCCTGCTGCCCTCCCTTGTGTTGATCTTGGGGTCATGAGGATGCTGAGATTGCCAGCAGGCTCTGAGTCCTTTTTCACTCCTTTGGCCAACAGTAGCGGGAGGAGGCAACCCAAGTGGGAAGCTCTCTAGGTGGGCAGCAGGCATGGTCAGTGTTCTTAGAGGTTGTCTGGTCACAGCTCCTTTGAGGGAACGCACAAGCCAGAGAACCAGAGAAAGCTGGCCTGAGAGGTGGGGACCAGAGGCCCCTATGTGATGTACCACTCTGCAGCCACTTGGGTGCGGGACAGTTCTGTACTTCCCAACTTGCTTATGGCACAGCCATTTGTCAGTGACTTGTAACAATTTAATTTTAAGAGTAAATAAAGCTGCCTGATGTCCCATAACAACACAGGCTCTGCACTTCTTCTGTAGCCTTGATTTGTCTCTACTGCTAACATCTATGGTCCCTGCCTCCGCCCGCACCCCCCTCCTCCACCCCTTCCCCGCCAGGACTGGTGTGCTGTTTGCAGTCTTGATGACCTAAGCACTCAGCCCTCTCAGCTGTGAACTTGTGGCTATGGCCAAAGGAAAGTACCACTGTGCTTGTGGCAAGGGCTGCCACACAACCCAAGGCCTCGGTGGCCTATGGAATTCTATTCTCCTGGGAAGGGGCTGCTCAACACTTGCTGTCCAAACCTACAAGAACAGAGACAGCTCTGACAGGCTCCCAAGGGGGTGGGCACCTACAGGAGCAGCTGTGCCTAAAGACTGGGCTGGCCCAAGCAGTTCAAGCTAGTTAACAGCACTGGTGGTTCAAACCACCACTCTTGGGGTGGGGGTGCTCTAACCCTCTCCCCCTGCAAAACTTGGGGCCACAGGCAGCCCTGTCCCCAACGAGCATCTTAGTCTCTCCCATCTATACCTTCCTTTTTCTTCCTCTTGGTTTGGGGACCTGTGGCCCAGAGTGCTGAGGCCCTGAGAGAGGAGCCCCTAGTGGATAGCAATGCTCACAAGGGATAAATAGAACTTTATTTTAAATAAACATTTGCACTCTGTACATAGCCCCAGCAGAAGCAGGGCTCAGTCGTCAGCTGTCTTGCGCACGTCAAAGCTGCCACAGGGTCCTCTCAGCAGCTCTGCCAGCAGTGCAAGCAGCTGCCCGTGCTCCTGCTGCACGCTGGGGGGAAGTGCAGCCAGCTCGCTGCGCAGGCTCCGCTCCACCATGCGGCCCAGGGCCCGACGCAGCTCCCTCAGCAGCCGCACTGTGCGTGAGTCGCCCTCCAGCCGCAGCAGGTCACTGTCACTCAGGGAGATGGTGGCCCGGCGCCCATCATCTGGGGGAACAGAAAAGACGGTGAGGAGCCTAGATGAGGCCACCCTGAGCAGCAGGACACAGAGCAGTGGGGGTAGAAGGCCTGCAGGTACCCACCACGGATGTGCACATCCCCGTCCGTCAGAAGCAGCACAGCTAGTGGGTGCACCTGGGAGGAATCCCGGACGAAGACGCTGCCATTGGACTTGACCGCCATGAAATACGTCAGCCATCGGCTCCGTAACCGCGTGGCCTCCCTAGGGAATACAGAGCCAAGTGAGGCCACCCTTCTGGCCCTTCCCAGCTACCCAATCCAGTCCTGCCTGCCCCCCACCTGTTAATGGTCGACTTGTGCAGCAGGATGTTGCCTGATTTGGTCCTGTATGTGACACTGTTGGGCTTGAACTTCCCCTGCCGGGTGACCTTGCCCTGCCTCACCTGCAGGAATGGAGAAAAAGGTGAGTGAGGCTGAGCAAGGAGCTGGGTACAAGGAAGGAGGCTGGGACCTGGTCAACTCCTACTCCCTCCTGGAGGCAGCACCTGGATGAGGTTGGGATAGAGACCAGCCATCAACACGCCCTTCACCAGCTCCTCTTCTTCACTGTACTCATTGCACTGGGCAGAGGCCAGAGTGCAGTCTGAGGGTTTGCCCACCAGGAAAGCCTCATAAATGTTCTCAGAGAACTGCTTGATGAGTCCTGGGAAGGCAAAGTGCACAGTAAACCTGGGGCCCCCTGGCCACAACACTGGCAGGGGTGACAGGCAGCCAATATGGGCAGAACGACATAAGGGGCTCAGGAGGAGACCAGGTGTGGGTGGCAGCTGACCGTGGATGAAGCGCAGGCTGGGCGCATACAGCAGGTTTTCCTCTAGGTAGTTCTCCCGGGAGCTGCGGTCCTGCCAACGCAGCACCTCCTCCCAGCCAGCTACAGCCCGCACGAAGGCCAGGTGGTCACTGCCACTGTCATGGCTCAACAGTGCCTTTACCTGGGAAAAGAAGGTACCCAGGTCACAGGGGAGGGGCCAGAGGAGGCCCTTTAGGACAGTGTATGATGGAGGGTCGGAAAGGAGAGCCAGAGGGCTACGGGAAGGGACTAGATCTAACCTTGTCCACCTCCGCCCGGTTCTGCAAGCTGCTGCTGAACGGGTCCCGGGTGAGGCAGGAAACGACCACCAGCAGCGGGTGCAGGCAACGGAAGATGGCAGCCAACACTATGGCCTTGGCCAGCCGGGGGTCGGTGGAGATGTGGGCCAGGCGCTGCCCCAGGGTGGTCAGGTACTCCCGCTGGTCCAGTACCCCTGCAACAGCTCAGCTGTCAGCCGCAACCTTGAGAGCCACTCCCCAGCCCAGCCCAGCCCAGCCCGGCCCCCACTCACCGATCTCCTGGAGCAAGATCACGGCCTCATCTACTGCCTTGATGTTTGGACTGTCCACAGCCTTGGAGAGGAACTCCACTGCCTACAAGAACAAGCCAGAGCCCGCCATGAGCCTGCTTCCCACCAGTCTGTTCCCTAGGCCTGGCCCTGCCCTGCCCTGCCCCTGCCGCACCGTCTTCTCAGGCATGTGGATTTTGGCTTGCAGCACCAGGTTCTCAAGGGGCGTGCGCAGGATCTCTGGCACTTGGAAAGGGACCATTTTCTCCAGCCGGCTTCGTGGGAATAAATGGTAGGCAAAGCCTGACTGGCAGCGGCCCGCCCGGCCCCGGCGCTGGATCACATTTGCTCTTGACACCCACACCGTCTCCAGGCAGGACACCTGGGAGAGGGTACAGGTGAGCAGCAACACAGACGTCACAGGCCTTCCTCAGTGTTTCCCCACATCTCAAATAACCCTTCACCAGCCACCAGCCAACCCCCAACCAAAACAGGGACACTGAGACCCTACAAGTATGGCCTTCTTGGGACACACAAAGCAGGTCTAAGGCAGATCTGGGCTGGGGCCACCTTGGTCTTCAGGTCGTAGCGTTCCTCCTTGTGCAGACCGCTGTCCACTACGTGCACAATGTCATTGACCGTGATGGAGGTCTCAGCAATATTGGTGGCCAAGACAATCTTGCGCACCCCAATTGGAGGCTGCTGGAATATGGCCTTCTGGTCCATCATGGGGATGTTGGAGTGCACTGGTGGGCAGCAAGACACACTGGTTATGTGCGCTGCTTCCACCAAAACCACCCCCTGGGAGGAAGGCAGGGCAAGAATTTTGACCCCATTTCGATGAAACTGAGGCCCAGATAAATAACATGTCCAATGAAAAGTAGTGAAGCTTGGTCAAAAACCTGGGCCCCCTGAGTCCCAGTGGGGTCAGTCCCCAGGACAGAGGGCAAGACTCATTTCTGGGGATGCATCATTCCTTATACCCGGGCTCTCACCTGGCAGGATGAGGTACTTGCTCTCGTGTATGCCCAGGGCCTCCTGGAGGCGTTGCTGCACTCCTTTGATCTCCTGCCAACCAGGCAGGAAGCACAGGATCCCACCTGTAAAGGGGCCCTGCAGGCATGAGCCAATGCTCCTGCACGTGGGGGTCAGGGTGGGCACGGGGCCGAGGGGGAAGCACCCACCTGGTTCCCCATGGGCATCGATGTGCAGAACCAGATCAGTCACGAGGTCCAAATCCAGTGCACATTCATCCTCAGACTGGGGTGGGGGAGAGAGGCCACAGTCACAGCACAGGGTAAGAGGTCGTGCATAGGACACAGCCACCGTGACTCAGTGAGACGGAGCCACTTGACATGTCAACTCCAATCCTCACATACTTGCCACGCAGGCGTGATTATTCCCCCGTTTCTATCAAGGAAACTGAGGCCACCAAGCCACAGGGACAGGGAGGAGGGGAATCCACAGAGGAAAGGCCAGAGCCCTGGGTGGAATGGGGCGGGAGCATCCCTCACCTCATGGTGCCGGTGCCGGTGTGGGTATTGGTGCTTGCCCAGCTTGGCCAGGATGTCCTCCAAGTAGTGCTCCTTGACAGGGTACATGAAGCCAGGCACCTTGATGACCGGGCAGCCACCAAAGTAGCGGGAGAAGCGCTCATTATCCCCCGTGGCACTCATGAGCACCAGCCGCAGGGCTGGGTTGAGCCGCTGCAGGCCCTTGAGCAGAATCAGCAGGAAGTCTGTGTTCACGTCCCGCTCATGTACCTCGTCCACGATGACGTGGCTCACGCCCTCCAGGCTGGGGTTGCTCTGCAGCTTCCGCAGCAGGATA